GTACCCAAGTTCCCGAGTCGAGGTAACTTTGGTGATGACGGACACGTGGCCTTAAGCACGAGTTAGGGTTTCCTAAATCCCCCAAAACAAAATATTTAGGTGGTGACTCTGTATCTGGCAAAGCAGTCCATGTTTGGCACTTCTTTATAAAAATCAGTTTTCTGAAACGATTTGCCAGATTTGGACTCTTTGGTGATTTATCGGTCTTGCATTGCACTTTGCGAGATTAGATTCAGAACCGTGACATTGAGTCCGAACTGTAGTAGTCCAATGAACAAAATGGGATTTCGCGCCATTTCGCGCGCGAAGCTCGGGACGTTTGGGCGCGTCTACACTCGGCGTTTACGACTACGAGTTCGGTCAGTAGGAGCGTTTGCTGGGGTACGACGTCGACGTCGGCGCTGGGATGTCGGGATAAGTTGGGGAGTAAAGGTTGATGGTAGGTCAACTGGATCTGAAGAAGAGGCCTGGTTTGGCCTTGGCGATGAAGTGACTGGTGGAGTGGAAGCAGACGGAGGAGTCTTGCTGCGACTAGGAACATTGGGCAAGGCAGACTTGTATGTTAGGATATAATTGAGTAGTAGAGGGGCTTTGCGCTAGTCGACTGGCAGGCCCAGTAGCCTTTTTAGGTCTTTGTTGGGGAAGAAAGTTTGTCAAAAATCCTTTGCTGGCTGGGGAAGAGTTGCAAAAGAGAACAAGAAGAAAAACATTCAAAAATAGATGTATAAGCTGACAAGTCCTAGCAGAAATAGGATTAAAAGGATGACTCAGTTCTTACCATCACCCTCTTTAAACACCAATCGGTGTAGAGGGAAGAGACGAAGATCATCATCAAGAGCAAACTCTCAGTTGCCTGAGACGATCAGGTAATCATCTCCAACATCCTTATTGGGGTCTGGGAAGTCGGCTATGATTTTATAGGCAGTGGATCTGGGCTTAAGGTAATAAATGTAGCCTTTCTCAGACTTTAGGCCACACATGGTATAAAAAAATTGGACGTTGGCTAATGTTATCCTAGTTTTTTCTCGGTGGGCTAGGGCGATTATACCATTGATAACCCTATAGAAATTGATAGCTAGCTGCATAAGGCTGAGTTTATGGTAGTGGAGGACTTCCCTAAAGAGGATGTCTAAAGGAAACCGAAGTCCACACTCAATGAATGCAACAACAGGGTAGGGCATGGAGTCTCCGTAAGGCATGATAGAGTCCTCCTCCCCAGCTAACCTGATCTAAACATCAACTAGGATAGAGAAATCTCTCTTGAAGAACTCAAGTTTTTCTGGGGTGTCTACCTTCCACCTAAACATACCTATGGTGTCGACTTAAATGAAGACCGGTGCAAGATTTTAGGAAAGAATTACTGGAATAGGTTTGAAGACCTTGGCTAAATCTTAAACAGGCACTGGTGCAAGGGTTTTTAAAGATCTAAGGGGAATTTGTTTTGATTTTCCTAAAGAACAAGGTTCTAAAGAAAATCCCAAACCTAGAAACCATAGAAATAGTAATTGAAGGCAAAAATCTAGAAATACAACAAGAAGAGCAGAAAAAAGTGCATGATTCAGAATCAAGAAAGCAACCGAGATTTAAGAATAAGAAAAAATATAAATCTGCAGAACAATGAGTGAGTGTTTGCAAGGCAGTGTGCAAGAACCAGAAGCAATACACATACTCTCGAATTCAGGAACAAATTATGATACATCAGACAGATTCAAGAAACAAGAAAGGATGACCAAAGCATGAAGATAGAAACAGAGTATACAGACACAGATTCCACAAAAACAGGTATGGAGTCAAACATATAGCAAAATTCAAAAGGAAGTTGTATTGAAGAACATGACCAAGAATAGTAAAAAACAGAAGTTAAAAGAAGAAAATTAAAGACTCACCAAGTGAAGCTGACAAAATGAATGCCAAAACAAGACTTGCCAGAAACAGACGACGAAAAGCTCGCCGGAGGAGATGATTGCAGCGATTACAGAGAACTCGAAAGCACGAAAATTGAGGATTTTGGAAGTTTAGAGACAGAAAGTCTGAGCACAGGGATAGAGATTGTAATTACAAATGTGAAAGGACGGAGAGAGAAGGGAAGGAGTTTTGTTAAAAACATGAAAAGGCGGCAAAATATAATGAATCTGCCTTGGATAACGTGCTTGTTAGGCGGCATGGACAGAAGCGATGCGACATGATAGCGCGTGTCAAGTACGAACCAATGAGAAAGGGACGCGTGGACAAAATAGTTGGAAAGATTGTGCGTGACAACTCATGCGCAGTTAGAACTCTTCAAATTCTTGAAGTAATCAAGTAAGGACCTCGGCTACCGAAGCAATCCTGAATGAGATGCTTAAATAAACAGGGTTCTTCATTTTTTATCCTTAATAGAAGTGGACAGTTGAGTCCTGGGTACGTGAAGCCGACGAGTAATGATCTTGGTCAGGGAGAAGGAATGAAATTTGAGCCGACGTTCTATAGAAAGAAACGATGTAGGTTCCATCACCTTAGATTGCCGATGTAATAGAACCTAGGGGCAGTTGTAGGGACACATTTTATGAATGACAGTACATGACTAAGGTGGTGCCGAAGTGTCAGCCGAGGTGCCACGTGGCTTGGTCATGCGCCGAGATGATCTTGGCTAGGCCGAGGTTATCTGCAGAGATACCGGAATCTGAAATAAGCAGATAAGGGACAAGAGTCCTAGAACAGGAAAGGATCTCAGTTTGGATAAAGATAAAGCTCTAAGGGGGTTTATCCTTCTCTAGCTAAGAGTCCAAGATGAGCATTGAGCCTGAGTCCACTGAAAAGAGGCTTCTACAGGGATCAGGTCAGTGCTGGCTATAAAAGCAAGGCACCTCTCGTGGGTCTCAGGTACATGTGAGATACTGTGAGCAGTAAGTTTTATATTGTGAGTTAAGCACAATTTGCTATCTTTAAGAGATATTTGGATTACTGACTTGAGCATCGGAGTGCTCTCGGGTGGATGAACCACTGCCGGATTCTCATCTTTCTATGACAGGTTGTTTGGACTTAATCTATTCTGTCGATCCTCTCCAGCTGAGTTTCCCGTTTGGTTGTGTGGTCAAAAATCAACACCCACAAAATTCGTAATAGAAGTCCATAAATCACAAAAATTAAAATTAAAAACTAGGATTTGTTTGTCATATAAACATATAATGCTGGATGTTTTGATTTTCTTTTTTTGGATAGTATAATTTTCCTTTCCAAAAAATTTATTAACAGCACTATTATCTCTAATTTTACTCACAAAATTAATTTATATATCAAATTCATTCATACGTAAACCCTGTATTACTATTTATGAAAATTAAAATTTAGGCCTTTACTTTTATTATAAAAATAAATAATAAAATAATTTAGGGTAAATTACAAATACGTCATTGAGATTTGATTAAAATACAAATCGCCCCCCTGTGATTCTGGAAATTACATTGCACCTCCTAAGATTTCTAATTTTATAACAAATCGTCCATTTTATTAATAAATCATCAATTCAATTAAAAGTTTTTTAAGATGTTAAAAATATGTTTCAATTAATAATTTAGGTAATTTTATTATTGTATAGGAGAGTAATTAAGAATTTTATTTTTTTAGTTAATTCTGTTAAATAAAAAATTCTAACAAAAGAATATTTATAATTTTTTAAATCACAAAGGGCAATCTGTATTTTAAGCAAATCTCAAGAGATGTTTTGTAATTTACCCAAAAATTTAAGTCTAAAATAATAAAGAATTACTGAAAAATAATTCCAAAAAAAAGCTCAAAATAGTAAAGCCAAACAACCAAACTAATTCACATCCTTCTAAAAATGAATAATACTATAGGCACCAATTAGTGTACTAACTAATGTACCAATTGATGATGTGGCATAATTTAAGATATTTTTGTATTTGTAATTTGTATAATGAGTGGGATCAATAATATTGTAATAACTAGTGTTAGTACACTAATTAGTGCATGTAGTACCACTTTCTATTCAGGCAAATAGAGAATGAAAAGTCATTTGATCCACGCCAATCCCCGCGAGCACGCTTAGGGGCAGGAAATAATGGGGTGTTTGGCAAATGATTTTGTTAGTTTTTTGGGTTAAAATTTATAAAAAGAACAAATATGTTAAAATAATCAATAAGATAAAATATCACATTAAACCCATAATCATTTAATTTTTTTTCTCACAAACATCACACCCAACTACAAAAAAATCCAATTTTCTTCCCAAATACAAATATTTTAATCTACTAAACTAGCCAAAAACTAAAACAGCATACTAAAATAACTAACTTCCCAAACGAGGCCAATTTCTCAATCATGCTAGTCCCGTGAATCAACGGCTCTATCTGTCTGCCTTTAAGGCTTCGTTTGGTTAGGGTTTTTTGGACTAAATAAGCACAAAATAAGTTAAATAAATTAATAAAATAAAATGTCATATTTAGGCCTCATTTGGCAAGTGGCTTTTTTAGCCAAAAAGTCAAAAAGTCACTAAAAAAATTAAAAAGCCAACAACCTATATCAAAAAGTCAAAGATTCCTTGTTCTCTCTACTTTTGGCACATCTTTTGTAAAAAATCCAAAAAGTCATCCCAAACATACTAGTTTTTTTTACATCAGCCAAAAAGCCAAAAAGTTACTAAAAAAGCTTGTTCCCAAAAATGCAACTGAAATATATTTTTTAGGCTTCGTTTGGTTATGTAGTTTTGGTTAAAAAAGCACAAAAACAAAAACAAAAACAAAAGCAAAAACAAAATTGGCTATATAAGCTAATAAGAAAAAATGTCACGTTCAAACTATAATCATTACACTTTTTCTCTCACAAAAGTCAAAAAAACCAAAAAAAAGCCAAACCAAATAAGGCTAAAAAAGTTTCAACACAAAAAAACCAACTAAAAAAGCCAATGCCAAACTAAGGCTTAGTTTCAAACTAAAAAAGTCTCAACTCCAAAAAGTTTACTAAAAATATTTATGCCAAACAACAACTATTCATGTCGGCCACTTGAATTAATCAAGAAGTTATTGGTTGATTCAGAAATAGTATCACGTGACGTTCTACATGTATATTGTCATTGATAAAGAAGACAAGATTTACAATTTTACATTAAATAATTAGAAAACATAAAAAGACATAAGAATTTATGATTAACTTGAAGCATAGTATGTAGTGTCCAGGACTAATCAATAATTTTTCGAATTAATGGCTCCAACAATCCATTGTTGATCGTACCCTGGGCAGTAAATAACTTGTCATTCATGTGAGCCATGTGAATATCAACGGCTAAAAAGTCACAAAATGACCGTTAGCAATGCTCTGCAACTCTGTTAACGGAGAAATGATCATGGGTGCTCAACGGAGGAAAAAGATCACCTAATCCAGAGCACCAAGAAGATCAAAAGCACTACTGATCACGAAGATGCTGTCATGGGTTAAGCTGTGTCACAGGAAACCAACAACGGTGACCTCAGTTCTAAACCTCAAAGCCCTAAAGCCATGGCGGAGGACAAAGACTCTCAAAATGGGGAACCTACTATTGCTGATAACCAAGCAACTGCTGAGGTTTTTGAAGCCCCAAAATCTTTCAAACAAGCCCTCATGCGTTCAAGATTCAACAAAACTGTGAATGAAAAGAACTTCGATTGCGATGTGGAGTCTCTTTCCTCTGATGAGGATGAACCAACAATCACAGATCTATTTGAGAAAGAGAATGAGGCTATGGCGAAGGAGTGAGATGGATTCTCCAAAGTCACGATCCCAACCAACTTGTTGAAGAAAGTCAAAGAACCGTGGAGGAAATGTTTGATTGTACGACTTTTGGGGAAAATTATAGGCTATAAGTTGTTTATGGCCAAAGTCACAAATATTTGGGGTCTTCAAGGCAATTTGGAAGTCCTAGATATTGGACATGGTTTTTTTATCGTTAAATTTGATATTATAGAAGATTATACTAAGGTAATCACGGGCAAACCATGGGTAGCCCTAGATCATTTTGTAACTGTTAAAAGATGGCAACAAGATTTTAAATCGGATAAGGTGGAGAAGGATACTACAGCAATGTGGGTGAGGTTTCCTAATCTGCCCATAGAATACTATAATGAGAAAGTTCTACTTCACATGGCGAAGGTGTTAGGAACTCCACTAAAGATTGACATCAACACAGCCATGGTAGCAAGAAGAGGATATGCTCGGGTTTACGTTAAAATAGACCTTCGCAAGCCACTAATCTCCCAAATCGCGATAGGTAAATACGTATATAATGTTGAATATGAACATTTGCACTTATTTTGCTTTTCCTGTGGCAGGGTAGGTGTAACGACCCCAAAATCCGTATCAGAAATTGTCTTTATGCCCTTGTGGGTTAATGCCTTTTAATTTAATGATATCTGTTCTGACCGAGGAATTATCTGCTGAGCTACGACTTTAGAATTGAAATTACCGACGTTTACGGGTTCAAAAATCAAAATTGAGTACTTGGGTATGTTAATGGGAATTTTTAGAACTATTTGAAAAAATTAATTGGAAATCTAATTTGTCTGATTTGTTAAAGCACGTTTGGGTGGTTTATTTTGTACTGCAAATTGAAGGCCTTAGAGGCTTCAGAAACCAGAACAGAAGACATATTTATGATCAGCACAATTTTTAGAATCACCTGAGAAGTTTAATTGAAATTTGATTTCGTGCGATTCGTAAGGCCGCGTTTGGCTCGCCCTATTGTGTTAAACTTATATGTGTGTATATTTTAATGTATATATGTATGTGAGAGGAGGAGTTGAACTCATCTCTTAGAGCCCAAAAATATCTGGAGGAGGAGAGAGGATGATACGTGAGAGAGAGGGGGGGGAGAGAGAACTCAAAGAGAAGAAATGGAAGAAGACATTAAAGACTTGGCTTGAATTCATCATAGTTATGCAAAAACAAGTGATGGAAAAGGTTTAAGGTAAGATTCTTCCTCTCAACGCTTGAAGATCATAAACTAAAGAGTGAGTTCTTGGGTTATCTATGATTGTGTGTATGGGTTATGGTTCTTCAAGAGGCTAAAGAAGAATTCCACCATGAAAGTGAACTTTGGACCCCAAACCATGTCCACTCTATATTTTTGTGTTTTAGTTCTTAATCTTGTTCTTGTGCTTGGGAATATGAGTAGTATTTTGGGGTTATGATCTTTGATGGAAGCTAATAATGTGAAATTCATCATGTATTAAAGAGTTTTAGGCTTTGATTTACATGAAATTGAGGTTTGATTTTGAAAAGGAGAGGTTCCAAATTATACAACCATTTTCAGACGGTCTGATTTTGCCCAGACCGCACGAGCGGCCATGGGCACCGCACGAGCGGAACATGAAGAAAAAAGGAGGTTTTCATTCTGCTCTTTGGCCACTCGAGCGGCCGGTTTTTCCGCTCGAGCGGATTTGGGCCGCACGAGCGGTCCAGCTGGGCGCACGCGCGGCCAACCCTGTTTCAGCTTATACCTGGTAACTTCAAATAAGCATATCTTTTGTATCTGGACTCCGTTTTGAGTGATTCTTGAGCCTAAAATCAAGCCCCAGAAGTGTAGTTTCCAATGGTAGTGGTATCACCCCCAAATTCTAAGTACATAAATAGATATGCCCAAATTAGTGAGAGTTGCTCACTTCCTATCTACCGGTTTTGTATCATTTCTCCGTCCGATCCATTTTCCTATCAATTCCCCCTATTTTCTGAGACATGGATTATAACTTATTAAGGAATAATGAGCTTGGTACCACCATGGCTAATTGATTAAATGATCAAAGAGAATAAGCAAAGGATCGATTATAATCTCATATTATGTGTTGTGCACTGTGCTTGTAGGTCGAGACGAGGACATCGTCCCATTACTACCGGGAACTGTTCATTGTGAGTAATAGTAGTGTAACGATATGTTTCACTTACTTCCTGTGATTATGATTTAAGTATTGTTAATTGTGAATGGCCTGTCCCATTGATATTGTGCTTTGATTAACTTAATTGATATTGTGCTTTGATTACCTTAATGGCATTTATATGGACTTAAGGTCGTTCTGTCCCTAGTAATAGACGTGGGCCCGAGGCCATTATGATGCAAATTGTTTTGTCCCTATTAATGTAGTGATACACTTGCCTTCTGTTAATAGTTATTATTAATGTTCTATCATTCACAAGACAACTATGTTGACTTATAATAAACCATGGGAAAATCTATATGCACTATTAAGTAATGGTATCCTTAAGAATCTGGGATTATTCTGCTTTGCTACTACTGGACCTGAGGCCATCCTATATAATCTGTTAGGCCTAAGGTCGCTCTATATAATCTGTTAGGCCTGAGGCCGTTATGATGTAAATTGATTATGATTCATGGCCAGAGGCCAATGGAGGTAGTGTACATGTCGATGTTCTACCTACCCTACAATGTATAGACAACTGTCGTTATGTGGGCCTGAGGTCGTTCTGTATTATCTGTGGGCTTAAGGCCACTCTGTATCTTATATGGGCCTGAGGCCGTTCTGTGTTATCTGGGCTTAAAGCCGATCTGTATCATATCTGGGCTTAAAGACGATCTGTGTCCCTATTAATGTAGTGATACATTTGCCTTCTGTTAATAGTTATTATTAATGTTCTATCATTCGCAAGACAACTATGTTGACTTATAATAAACCATGGGAAAATCTATATGCACTATTGAGTAATGGTATCCTTAAGAATCTGGGATTATTCTGCTTTGCTACTACTGGACCTGAGGCCATCCTATATAATCTGTTAGGCCTAAGGTCGCTCTATATAATCTGTTAGGCCTGAGGCCGTTATGATGTAAATTGATTATGATTCATGGCCAGAGGCCAAGGGAGGTAGTGTACATGTCGATGTTCTACCTACCCTACAATGTATAGACAGCTGTCGTTATGTGGGCCTGAGGTCATTCTGTATTATCTGTGGGCTTAAGGCCACTCTGTATCTTATATGGGCCTGAGGCCGTTCTGTGTTATCTGGGCTTAAAGCCGATCTGTATCATATCTGGGCTTAAAGACGATCTGTATCATATCTGGGCTTAAAGCTGTTCTGTATCATATATGGGTCGAGGCCATTCTGTATTATATATGGGCTCGAGGCCTTTCTGTATTACATGTAGGCCTGAGGCTGTTTTAAAATATGATTATGAATAAGATCTGTGTACGGTTTGATATGCATATTTACATTCTCTAAGTCTATGCTTGTTTAACTCACCTCCTTACATTGCTATTATTCACTGAACTTTGCTCATTCCGTTTTATGTATATTTCTGTAGGTGAGCCATCGGAGATTGACACTAGAGCTGGACTGAGGTTCACCTGTCTGCCAAGTCACCTGGGGTATGCCTCCGTGTGGAGGCCTTAATTTGTGTTGGGAGTCATATAAATTATTAAGTCTTATGTAAGTATGTGTGAGATCTATATAAATTCTATGATTGTACATGTACATATGGGAGTGTATTTAAATGCTTAAATCTAATTAAGCCATCATGTATGCACAAGCTCAATGGATGTTGTCTTTTATTAATATTGCTTCCACTTAAGGCCCCGTTTTTGGTTAAATATTATTTTAAAATTCTGTTTTGAGGCCTATGTACAGGCCGGCCATGAACCAAACTTTTAGGGGTGGGTTTGGGTCGTGACAGTAGGTCACCTGAGGGACAGTTGCAGTGATGGGATCATGCGGAGACAATATCGCAGGGACCAGTTGCTGTTGGGAATGAAGAACATCTAGAGGCCTCACACAGCCTTGATCCCAGCCTATCCAAATTTGGGCCGTGGATGACAGTCCCCAAGTATGTCAAAGGCCCAAACTCAAAAAGAGATAGCACTCAACAAAGAAATAGGTTTGAAGCATTACAAGAAGAGGGAGAATATCCCAAAGGCAACAAAGCCCAAGTGGGGAATGACACGGGCCGAAGAGGGAAAGCCCAAATGGAAGGGGGATTCAAATACAGATCACGACCATATAAGAGGAAGAATGAGTCCAACCACTCTGCTATGACTAAAGCTAAAAAGCTAGAAGAGATTAGACTTAGAAAGAAAAAGGATACTGACATGGAGATTACAAATCAAGAGGCAGAGCTGGGGATAGGTGAGACATCATTACCTCAGAACTTTTCAGAGCAAGCACCAATCCCCCTGCAAGTAGTAGAGGGCAACCAAGCTTCTAATCAGCTCATAGGCCCATTACCTCCATCCCATCTTAACCAAGTTATAGTGAACACCACTGAACCCAGGGTAAGAGAACCCCCAGACAAACATGGAAGAGGAAAAAGAGAACTACCCCACAGCGACGCACAATATGATCCAAGACAGAGTGCTGGTGTACTTAACACCAGGCAAAGAAATGCTTTACCTCATCACCTCCAAATGGAGGAACGAAGGAGCAAAGTTGAGAATCCACCCATGGAGACAAGTAGATGCAAGCCAAGAGTGTCACTACCTCTCAATGACTCCACTCAAGTCGATGGACGAAAACCTCCAAGCCATCAGGGGCTATCTGAAGCTATATGATCAAAACCTGTTACCCTCTCATTATATACCTTCCATGGATCTGCTTGTTTGGAATTGTAAAGGGGCAGGTAACAAGAAATTCAAACAAACTTTGAGAGAGTTAGTCCAAATCCATAAACCCGAAATTATTGTGCTCATAGAAACCAAAGTAGAGCTTACAGCTATGGAGATGTTCTTCAACTGTATGGGGTTTACTGCTTCAGCTCATGTTGACCTAGTTGGCCGGAGTGGCAGTATCTGGATGCTCTGGAATCCCATTCTGGTAAATGTGCGAGTTGTTGAGGGTAGTTCACAACAAATCACAACTACTATTTCTAGACAAGACTATCAAGACTGGTTACTTTCAGCTGTCTATGCAAGCCCCAATGCCAGGAAGAGAGATGAGCTTTGGGATCACCTTGAGGCCATTGCTCAATCTATGAAGGAGCCTTGGCTAGTAGCTAGTGATTTTAATGATTTCACCTCTGCTAGTGAAAAAAGAGGCCTATACCAATCCAACAGTCAGAGTATAAGCCAAGATCAGAGAAGAAGTAGGAAATTTAATGAAAGACTTAACAACTGCAATCTCATGGACTTGGAATGTATTGGTCCACGACTGACTTGGAGTAACAACAGAAAAGGCTGGGCCAACACAATGGTTAGACTGGATAGAGCAATGTGTAATACTGAATGGAGAACCACTTTTCCTGATGGATCTGTTTGGAACCTTCCTCGTACATACTCAGACCACTCTCCCATGATGGTATTCACTCAAGGTAAGTCTCCTTTCAATCCTTCTTGTAAACCATTTAAATTTTTGGCAGCCTAGATTACTCATAAGGACTTTAATTCTGTGGTGACTAATAGCTGGGATAAACTAGCCCCCTCTCTGAGTAAAAAACTTGAAACTCTAGCCCATGATGCTACTATTTGGAATAAAAAGGTCTTTGGTAACATTTTCAGAAGGAAGAGATGGTTGTTGGGGAGAATTGAAGGGATTCAACAATCCCAAGCTCATAATTACTCTTATAATCTCCACAATCTTGAAATTGATCTTGTGGATCAATATAACAAAATTCTTTATCCAGAGGAGCTACTATGGTTCCAAAAATCTAGAGCCAAATGGATTACTCAAGGTGAGAGAAACACTAGGTTTTTTCCCCTTACTACTCTGGCCAAACGTAAGAGAAGGAAGATTGATATGCTTAAGAATGACAATAGAGATTGGGTGGACCAACCTGATCAACTTAAAGACTTGATTCTTAATTACTTTACGAATCTCTTTAACCAGACCCCCAACTGCTCTTTGGAGCACTGGAACAATCTGGTGGCTTGCAAGCTAACTCTTGAGGATAATACTAAACGTACTAAAGCTATCACTGATGATGAGGTGTAGAGGACTATGAAGCACAATGGTGCTTTTAAAGCCCCTGGATGTGATGGGTTCCAGGCTGTTTTCTATCATAATTTTTGGTCTGTTATTGGTAAGTCTGTCTGTTAAAAACTGTTTTCAAACTAATCACATCCCTAGTGATGTCACCAAAACCTTAGTGGCTTTGATTCCTAAGATTGACAATCCTGAGAATATTAAACAGTTCAGACCTATTAGCTTATACAATGTTTCTTACAAAATCATATCTAAACTTCTTGTTAGTAGGATCAGACCTTTTCTGAATAAGATTGTGAGACCTAATCAAAGCAGTTTCATCCCAGGTAGAAATACCTGTGATAACATTATTATGTCTCGAGAAATTTTACATACTTTGAATCTTAAGAAAGGTAAGAAGGGTGGTATCATTTTAAAAATTGACTTGGAAAAAGCTTATGATAATATTTCTTGAGACTTTCTTAAACAAACCCTGGAGGAATTTAACTTGGACAATAACCTTATTGAGCTCATTATGTGTTGTGTTACTTCGGTTAGCACTGTTATCCTTTGGGAAGAAGAACCTCTGAAGGAGTTTAAACCTCTTAGAGGTTGGAGGCAAGGAGACCCCCTCTCTCCCTATCTGTTTGTTCTTTGTCTTGAAAGACTGTAAAATATGATCAGTTTTAAAGCAAAGAAGAAAAGCTAGAAAGGTGTGGAAATTACTAGATGAGGGCCAGTCCTGACTCATCTCCTCTTTGCTGATGATCTTATGCTATTCGGGCAGGCTAATATAACCACCTGTGAGACAATCAGAGAGGTTATGAATGAGTTCTGCTGTATCTCTAGTCTGAAAATTAACTCACATAAGTCTAAGCTCTTTATCTCTCCTAATGTTGATGGAAGGAAAGCTAGAGAACTGAGTACTCGATGTGGGATTCCTCTTACTCAGGATTTAGGGAAATACTTGGGTGTGCCCCTGTTACATGGTAGAATGAATAGAGGGTTGTTCAATGACATTGTGAGTAAAATGCAAAAAAGATTGTCTGGATGGAAAGCTATTACCCTATCCATGGCTGGTAGAGCTACTATCATCAAATTTGTGACTTCTGCTATTCCTAGTTACACTATGCAAACTATGCTCCTTCCTAAATCTGTTTGTAATGACATTGACAAACTGAACAAGAACTTTCTCTGGGGTGATACCATGGAGAAAAACAAAATACATCTTGTTAATTGGGATGTGGTGTGCAATATGAAAAAGAAAGGAGGTTTAGGGATCAAAAAAGCAAGGGATAGAAACCTTGTTTTGCTCTCTAAACTAGGATGGAATCTCATCAGCAAGAAAGAAGGACTATGGTGTGATCTATTTCAGAAGAAATACTTATCTAAAACTTCTTTCCATGACTAGAAAAAATGGAGAAATGCATCTCATGTTTGGAGAGGCATTTTGACCACCATAAATTTTTTGAGAAGAGCTGTGAAATGGGAAGTGGGTGATGGGAACATTGTCAATGTCTAGAAAGATTGGTGTCGTGGAGAATGTTCCTTTGAGATAACTGTCTCAAGTACTAATCCTCCCTATCAGAGAAATGTCACAGCTTATGATAATGTGAGAGAGCTGCTAGCGGACGATGGTAATTGGGATGAGGCTATTGTGATTAACAAATTCCCACCCCACTTGGCTAATACAATCCTGAAATCTGTTCCTTCAAGTAATATACACAGGGATATCCCTATGTGAAAAGGGGCTCCAGATAGAGCTTTTACTGTCTCATTTGCCTATGAGTTTATTTTGCACATGAATGATAATGATGAGGATTGGAACTGGTTGTGAAAACTCAGATTACCACAGAAACTTAAAGGTTTCTTGTGGACTGTGAGGCATGGCAAATTGCTTACTAATCAAATGAGACTGCACAAAGGCTTAAATCAAGATGTTTACTGCCTCAATTGCAATATGACTAAGGACAGCCAACATCTATTTAGAGACTGTTATAAGGCCAAAGAAGTTTGGCTTGCTCTTTTTCACAGACATTTGTACCTTGATATGTGAAGGAAAAGTTGGATGAAATGGATCATGAGTAATGCTAAAAATAAAAATCATTTTAATGCAAACCTCTCTTGGTATCTAGTTTTTATTGTAGCCTTGTGGAAAATCTGGAAAAACAGGAATTTATTTGTGTTTGAAGGAAAACTCACTGGTTACCAAGAGAGTGCCAAATACATTTTAGATTTCTCTAGGGAGATCCATCTAGCTTTCCTCAATTCTGTACCAATTCCTAGACCAGCTTATCAGCTGATCAACTTATCTCTTGGAAACTACCACCTACAGGGCAACTAAAGCTCAACATTGATGGCAGTACGAAATCAGGAGAAGATTGAGGCTTTGGAGGCCTGATCAGGGATGAAAGAGGAGCATGGGTTTTTGACTACTATGGCAGACTCCAACCAGGAACCAGTCTGGAAGCAGAACTATGGGCAGTCTATAAGGGATTAATAGTTATCCTGCAGCAAGGATTAAATGGTGTGATCATAGAGACGGATGTAGCTCAAGTTTTGCACCTGCTGGAGGAAGAGATAGGATATGAATGCCCTTACAAGCATCTAGTGGAGGATACCAAAATTTTACTCAAAGGATGCAATTGAACTGTCCAACATGTTTGGAAAGAAGGTAATCTGTGTGCTGATGCTCTTGCCAAACTTGGAGCAACTCAACCGAAGGATATGTTGGTGGTGAAAGAACCCCCAACCAAGATCAGAAGTTTACTTGTTGATGATATGTTAGGACGTTCTAAAGAAAGGGTTTAGTCCCTTGTTTTATTTCCAATGTAACCAAAAAAAAGAATATCAACTGCTCGAATTTAATCCTAAAATAAAAAGAGATTAGGTAAAATTAATTTCATATGAGAATAGTAAACGAGATTAGGTAAAATTAAGTTTATTATCTTTTTGGCTTAAGTTTCTCTCATGGATGGATTTGTAAAACCCATTACGAATATTATTTTGATAAGTTAAATGGTTCATATTTTAACGTCTCGAATGTATTATTATCTATAAAATAAATTAGATCAATTTGATAATTATAATTTTTTTTTTAAAAAATTGTATAATATATTTCAAATATATATTTGTGGTTATTTTTTAAAAAATAAATGAAATAAAATATAAAAATTACAATAAACATATTAAATTCATTTTTTTTATGAATAATATGTATTAAGAGTCTTACAAAATGAATAATTTGCACTATCGAAACGAGATCCATGATCTCCACGCCACTTCAAATTTTCTCAATTTGAAATATGAATTTAAAGAAAACCCAACACTATTTTTTTTCTTACATTTTAATCTTATAATCAGGTCTCGTTTGATAACTCAATATTTTAGTCTAAAAATTAAAAAATCATTAAAAAAAAGTTAAAAAGTCAACAACTTATATCAAAAAGTCAAAAAAATTCTTTTCTCTTTATTTTTTGCACATCATTTTATAAAAAATTGTAAAAATCATTCCAGATATATTAATTTTTTTTATCTCATATCTTAATTAAAAAATTAAAAAAATTATTAAAATAACTTATTTCCAGCGTTAATCTACCTACTTCGCTTTTTATCCAACAAATGAACGTGCTCTTGGGGCTACAAGCCTCACCTATTGCTTTCCACACCTTTATTTTATGGGTAAATTACATTGACACCCCTGAGGTTTAAATTTATTACAATCTCTTTCTCACCTTTTGCAAATTACATCTCTCCCTGAAGTTTAAAGTTTCATTACATATTCCCCCTTCAGCAATTTATTTTTTTTAAATACCAAATTTGCCCTCATTGAGTAAATTACATTGACACCCCTCACATTTCAGAAATTACAATCTCCACCCCAAGGTTTAAAGTAGCATTATCAATTGCCCCCTCGGTTAGTATTAGTTGGAAAAAAAATTCATTGAAAAAAAAAATTAATTGGAAAAAAAACTATTTGAAAAAAAAAATTAATTGAAAAAAAATTTTGTTAGTAAATTTTTAAATTTCTATTTAAAAACTAACGAAAGCTCATTTTTTGAATTTACGTTTTTTCCTCAAATTTACAAACTGAGACAATCATTTATAAACCAAAAAAATTATCAAACAAGCTTTTGTGACATTTTTTAAAATTTTTGTAAATATAAATTGAAAATTGAAAACTGAAAACGAAATGGTTACCAAACTGGCTTCAGGTGGTAAAAATGTCGTAAAATTTACAAATAATTAAATAAGGTACCAACATAAGAAATTACTTATCAAAAGATTCTTAAGATATGTATGGTTTGATTTTTAGAATTTTTGAAGAAAAAATTAAAAATTAAAAATTATTTTGGTTAAGAAATAAAAAATAAAAAATAATTATCATTTTTATATAATTTTTATCTTTCGAGTGGTTAGAAATAATTTTTTACGAATTAAATTGAAACTGCCATACGTATATATATAACCTACCCAAAAGTTAAAATGATAATTATGTTTTACCCTTAAATGATAATTATTTTTTATTTTTTATTTCTTAACCAAATTAATTTTTAATTTTTTAAAAAAAAATTCTAAAAATCAAACCATACATAACGTAAGAATATTTTAATAAGTCATTTCTTACGTTGGTAACTTATTTAATTATTTGTTAATTTTACCACATTTTTACCATCTGAGGCATGTTTGATAACCATTTCATTTTTAATTTTTAATTTATATTTACAAAAATTTTAAAAAATGTCATAAAAACTTGTTTGATAATTTTTTTACTTTATAAATGGTTGTTTCAATTTGTAAATTTGATAAAAAAAAACGTTAATTCAAAAAATGAGTTTTTGTTGATTTTTAAACAAAAATTTAAAAATTTTACTAATAAAATTTTTTTTTCAAATATTTTTTTTTCCAATTAATTTTTTTTAATGAATTTTTTTTCCAACTAATACTAACCAAGGGGCAATTGGTAATGCTACTTTAAACCTTGGGGAGGGGATTGTAATTTCTAAAATGTGAGGGGTGTCAATGTAATT